AGCACTTAAAATCAGAAAACAAAATACTACTTAAAATTTTCTTTGCTATAGTATGGTACTCAATTGTACTATAAGAAAATTATAAGTGCTGAATTGAAGTGACAATGTGTAGTCTAATGTAGGGCAGTAAGTCAGTTAAGTCAGACAAAGGGAACAAGCTCTTCTTTTATTCAAAGACCTAATATAGCTGAATAATTTCTCAGTAAACTCTCAGTAGCAGAGTTGACAAGACCCAAGAATATGGTGAGAGAATGTATTTAGACTGTGCATTCAAGCATTGGTAGACCATGCATGTGTTCCTGACGTGTATATGTCAATCAGGGACTCCAAGCAAAATAAGTGATGGCAGCTTCAGCTGGGTGGAGAAACCTCCACCGGTTTGTGAGTTACCAGTGCAATCCCAAGTAGTTCAATGATGTGATGTGCTGGAATCCCAGTAGCAGTGCTAACAGTATTGTAATACCACCATTCTCCTTGATCACAGAGATGCCTCTATCCTGCTAAAAAAGATGATACAGTAATGGTGGATTCTTTAGTTCTTTTCTGTTTGGGTTTCTTTGCCCATGAATGATTAGGAGAAATTGCTTTTAATGTCGATCCGTAGTTCAGTGAATAGGAAAAACATTTAAGAAAAATATTCTCAATTCTCAGCTGAACAAATGAGGAACACAGATTGGATTTCTGCTTCCTTGGGAGCTGCATCAACGCCAACATATAAAAGGTACCGCCTGAGAAAGAACAAGAGGAGTCTGAAAGAGGAAGAGAGAGACAGATCTAAAAAAAAAAAGTTTAGGAGAAGAAAATGTATGCTAAACAGGTATCACTAAGTGATACTACTACTGAGCATAGTAGTGTGTGATTTAAGAAAGCACAGATCACAGATGAGCAATTCAGCACTACCACAGTCTGGGCCAGCAGAAAATGAAAATAACTCATTTATTTCTTGCTGATTCTTAGGCTGTGTAAGTTGACTTTTGTAACTGTATGATCAAAGGTAGTAGAAAAAACTGAAGGCTGTTGGTGTTTGGTCCTTTTTGAAATATATCAGCAAACAGTGAAGCTACTGCTAAGTATGAGAAGACTTGTAAAAATTCAGCTTTTGTGAGGTGCCTACCACATTTTTTTTTCAATATTTTTTTTCTGAATGGTGTTATTGTTACATTATTGGTTGTGGTGATTGCTAAGGATTTCAATCAGTAATTTCTTTAGGACAAGGATTATAGTACTTCTTTCAGTTAACCTGTCCACACAAAGCATAGTCTTAATGTCTTCTATGAAAATAAAAAAACATGCCCTTGTCAATGTTTTGCATAGGTGGGGGATCCTGCTCTCCAGTTTTTGATTTGAAGGTTTAGAAATCCCTATACCTTGGTGAATTAATCCACTTCAAATAAAGTTGTGTCCGTTTCCACCTGGAATAAGTATTTCACCACATGGACCAATTTCTTTTGTTTAAATAAAAGTCCTTTTATCTGTATTGATATCTAGAGTAAATTTATTTTGAAAAAGGAGACAAAAATGTCCCACAAAAACACCAAAGAAAATTTTTTCCCATTCCCGTTAATTCAATGCAAAAACTCACATCCTTTTGTTTATGAAGAGAATTAATTATGATTAATGATGAAAAGTTAAAAATTCTCTCCTTAGTTTCCTATTTGCTATTTATTCATGCAGTTCATTAAATCCCATGTGTTCCATCAAATTTCAGGCTCTGCTAAGCATGGATTTTGAAGGACTGTAAAATGTGATTAGCGAAAGAGTTTAAATAATAGTTAAAATAGCTAAGACATACAGAGAGACCACATGCACTTCCATCATTTGTTTTGTAGTAAATTTAATGGTTGATTTTACCTCAAGGCATTGCTCCTGCCAGAGATAATGCCTTATGGCAAAGAGTTATGCTGTATTAATGGGGTTGCAAAAACTGTTGATCATTCTATAAAAGAATTACAATATCTCATGTCTGACTCTTGGTAAAACCACACTGTGCAACACCAGAATTCTGTTCCAAGCACAAGAATATCTTGAATTCCTTTTGGTTTTGTTCTTTTTCTTTATATCTGGGTATGATAGCAGAAATTAATAGCAGTAATTAACATACTTATGGACATACTCTGACAAGCCTTGAAAAACACATGGAAATGGTCTCTACCTTAGTGTCTCTGCTGACCTGAATGAACAAATGTAAAAATAACCTGTTTGAGCATTTGTCACAGCCATTTACTAAATATTTTTATGCCTATATTCATAACACATTATTATCTCTATCTGCACCTATTGAAAATAATTCCCAGTATATCAACATAAATAGATAATAGATCCCAGTAGTCATTACATAAAGGTATATTAGGAATTCTTGTGATGGCCAGACAAATAATTATTTTGTCATTCCACTATAGTTCAAGCTGAAATTACAACTTTGTAAATTAATCAACATGAAAACCTAAGAGCTGAAAATTTTAAAAGAATTTATAAAGGAACACAAGATATTCTGACAATTGGTAAAAAGTTTCTTTCCATTTTTGTTTCCAAAGCCATTTTCTAAGAATCAAATAATAGAATATGCTAAGTTGGAAAAAACCCAGTAGGATCATCAGGTCCAACTCCTGACCCTTCACAACACATCCCCAAGAGTCACACTATGTGCATGAGAGCATTGTCCAAATGACCCTTGTGCTCTGTCAGGTTTGGTGCTGTGACCACTGCCTTGAGGAGCCTGTTCTAGTGTCTCTGGGTGAAGAACCTGTTCTTGATACCCAACCTAAACCTCCCCCAACTTGAACAGACCAAGTGACCTCAGCCACTCCTTTTATGGCTTTACCTCAAGGCCCTTCGCCATCTTCATGATCTCCTCTTTGAACACCCTCTAATTGTTCTAAATCCTTCTTATATTGTGGCACCCAACACTGCCCACAGCACTTGAGGTGAGGCTGCCCCAGCTCAGAGCAGAGCAGACAATGCTTCCCTTGCCTGGCTGTAATGCTGGGCCTGATGCACCCCAGGACACAGGTGGCACTCCTGGCTTCCAGGGCACTGCTGAACCATGGTCAACTTGCCACTGACCAGGTCTCCCAGATCCCTTTCCATGGCACTGCTCTCCATCATCTCATTCCCCAGGCTGTTCACACAAGTCTCTTCTGGGATTTGTGCATATTTAATACTCACAGGCTAGTTCAGGGGACAGAGATATCTGCATAATGGATAGAGTGAGATGTATCTAATGGATAACATTAGAGATCCTGTTTCACCACTTTGTGCAAAGATATTACAAAAGCCTGGATTGGATCCAAGTGAATACCCCAGAGCTGTAAACAGGAAGCCAAATGTCATGCAGATCTTAGCATTATAACCAAAATACTTTCCAGTTTCTTTCAAACTTGATAAATTTGAAACATCAAGACTAGGAAACATTTTTTAATTGAAAATGATAAGACAGATTTTATTGGTACAATTGTTAGAGACATAAAAATAACCCAAGCCATTTTTATTCTGATCATCACTATTATTTAAGTATTTTTAAAGATTTCCTCATAGCATTTACTCCCACATCTTTTATCTCCCCTCCTCACCTCATCAAGGTCAAAAAACACAAAATCCTCCTCTTTCATTTTGTGAAAGTCTTACTAGTGAGAATTAATAAAAAAGGATTATCTCAATAATGGAAACTGAATATTTTATTTAAATTTCTACCTTACTTTCAAGGTTCTCTTTTTCTTTTCTTTCCAAATATTTCCCTAGTCAGAAATAAAAGTTTTATGATTAAAAAAGTTTAGTATTTGTCCAGGGCAGTTATTTCTTGCAGTAGTCAGGAGAGGCATAACCCAGACCCAGAAGTCGCCCTGTATCACCTCACACCGTAGACACGGGGTCCGTGGGCAGAAGGGGGTCCTTCCCAGTCAGGGTAACATTGGGTCTCACACGGTTTGTGTGTGAACTGATCATTGATCTTGCACACCGTATTAATATCAATATTAATATTGATACTGTTTGTTTCTTACCTCATTGCTCTTTCCAGGAAATTGTTCTTATCTCAACCATTGATCTTTGCCTCCAGTTCTCCTCCCCACTCTGCTGCAGAGGGAAGGGTTGTGAGGAGGCAGAATAAGCCACAGGTGTATTGTTTAGCGGGAACACTAAATTGGGGAATGCCATTCTTAAAAACCACAACAGTGTGGTAGTGTAAATTCTTTTCTCACACATAAAAACACATTAGACTTAAAGTTGATGGTAATTTTTTTTTCTCATTTTGTTTATGCTTTTTTCATCCCATGGTATTCTGCAGAATGGTTATGTTACTAAATACCTGGCATAACAAAGGGGATTTCCAGGGAAATTAATTGCATTCTTGGGTTGCAGAACCAGATACTGCTGGTAGATTCTTTCTCACTCTTTCTCTTCTCTCTTTTATAACAGTCATGTCCTGTCATAGGAAAGTTATTATTTGCTGTGGCATTTCTTTCAGACAGGTAATTTAGGAATGTACAAGCAGCAATATGTAAAAGCCTGGGAAGGAGGTGGATTTTGTGCATCTCTAGCAGATTTTAAATGGAAAATGTATCAGATAATTTGTGCATCTGATAGTTTTTAAGATACCGTTCTTTCATTTCAGTTTCAGATTACAGTAGTCATTGGATGTGAATCCCAAATCCTTTTTCAGCCTGCACTCAGTCTTGGCTTATGTACTTACTTTCAACTTTAACATAAAAATTCTCCAGTAACTTATATGACACAGAAAAATATATTTTGCAACATCCATTTCTCTGTGTTGAGGCCCTGACAGTAAAGAAATCACAAGAGAGATATAAACTAGAATTCTGTATTGCTGTAGAAAAAGCTGGAATTCTAAGATACAGTATTAGGAAATGCACCCTGTTAATATCAAATATTATGAAGCATTCCATTGTTGGCAGTTAAAATTTTTCTGTTTTTTTTAAATTACATAATAAATTAACATTGAAGTGTTACTTCTTTTCCTCTCAAAATTTTATGCATCCCTAAGCTTTAAATTAAAATATTTGTGGCAGCAGCTCTACCAATGACTTATCCGTATCATGCAATACTACTACCTTTTGCTACCTTACTCGAGTCAGTGAGAGCATATTGAAAAAGTAGCTGAGGTTTCTGTGTCTGGTGTGCCAAAGGGGAAGAGCCAACCCTATGTAAAAATAAATCAGAGAGAATTCTAGACCTCAGTGCATTTATTTTGGGTAGAAAGTAGTTTTAGAAAGTAAGTCTGAAAAAGGAGTTATAGTCTTCAAGATCTGCATCTCTGCTCTGGGAATGGATGACTGACTATAACTTCAGCTATAAAATCCACTCAGCAGAATATTACCAGTCCAAGAACTGCAGACACTAGTTGTGGTGGTCAGTGTCGCCCTGTGCACAGGCTTGGAGGTCTTTATCAATTACAACTTCTTATTCACTTCTGTCAGTGCTGTACTTGGTACATACTCTTCATTCTGTAATATAATTTGCCTTGCTGGGAAGCTGCAGCTTTTCTTTGCTGATTTATCTCTGCTCATAAAAAAGATAAAGCACAAGTGAAACACTGTTTAATTTTAATTATATTGGATACTAATTTCCTTCAGAAGCTTAAAAAAAATCACTAATATATAGTATTATATAGGTTAGCAAATACATTAATAGTATGGTCTAACATTTAAACATTGTGAAACCTATTGTAAACAAGAGGTCAAATCTTATCTGTATGAGTGATTATCAAGTGTATACATGCAGCAACTGTCTTCCTTGGGGAGTGATAAAAATAGGGACACTGCCAAGCAGGTTGAAAGAATGAAGCCAGTCTGCTAAAAAATATTAATGCAGAGGCTCATAGGATGTGTCTTGTTTCCAGTTTCCCAGACTGTCAAACATACAGGAAAACTTCAGGTAGAAGTTTGTGGAAGTCCAAGCTGTTTCTTACTTCTCTTGAATATTAGAAAAAGCCTTAATGTTTCATTTAGGCTATCATTATTACCTAAAATTGTTTCATGGAAAGACTAACCAGTTTCTTTCTTGACTGTGCTGTGTATTTTGAATATGATAAAATTTCTCCATTCTGTTTTTAAAAGAACGTGATGAAATAGTCTCCAGTATACCTTTTTCTTAAATTTTCTTTCACTAGTTGGCTCTCCTTGTTTTGTTTCTAATACAGCATATTTGCTTCTAAGAACTGAATCTGATTGAGGTTGTAAGGGTTGGTAGTATGACTGTCACACAAAATCAAATTTAAAAATAACTATTCAAATATCAAGTAAAAGACATTGGAAAACATATATGTTTTAGTCTCATATTTCAGTCAGGAGCAGGTGCACAGATTGTGAGAGTTAGGCTTATTTATTAAGGTACTTAATGTGATGTTTAAATTATCGGCATATATTTTATGTGATTTCATACTGTGTTTATGATCCTTTGGATTGGTTGTTTGGGTCATTTGGATGACTATCCCAAGTAGTAGGCCAACGTGTTTTTTTAGGAAATCCAGACTAATGGAGTAGGTGTTACCTTTCATACTGGGGAATAATAACCACCTGCCACTGAAATAAAAATTCATATAAATCACATCTCAATATGAAAATCTGTTTTGTCATTACTGCTGCATGTCGGTGAAGCCCAACAGGACAGAAAATACTAACATTTTGTCTTTAAATGTTCAAAACCATAAAATAAATGAAGTGTGGGTATTGATTGTCTTTGCCTTTCATTATCTACACAGGGGCTATTAAGAATGCTTTTTTATCTTCTTTTCACGCCTTATTTTCTCATACTGTCTAATGAAGGGCTTCACTTAAAGCATTCTACAGGCTTGAAAGTACATTTCTATGATACTAAAAAGCTATCGTTATGCATTAAAGGTTTTTACTGCTGTTTTTATTGATGTGCTGCACTGTATAGAGTAATAAAATTTTGTAATGTGGGAATTACTTGTTTAATTAATTTTTACTTTTAAATTATATTTTGACCTCTTTAAAAACAACCTAGGATCCTCATTTCAAAAAAGCAGATACCTATGGATTTCAGATTGTCATGCTGATATCAATATCAATGTCAATAATTTAAAACTGTGGAATTGCCATATATTTTTCCCCTCGTAAAAGATCCAACCGTTTCAATAAGCAGATCTTTGGACTCCAAATTACAGTGTTTCTTCCACACTGACGAAACTGGATCTTTGTGCTTCTTTGTTGAAATTCAAGTATTCTGGTGAATGAAAATTGATTTTGTGGCAGCAGTCTTGTGGCAAGGAAAAGAAAAAAAAAATCATGGAAAAAACAACTAAAAAATACTTTAGGCTGGTTAGCATTTTTCTGCATGTACTGAAATATTTGGTGAAAACTTACATCTTGCAACATTCTAGCCACAGGAGGTGATAGAACTAATCTTTGCCGACTAATTTGAAGCAATCTATAGACTAAACTCTTGCTGTAGGTTCTGTAGTTTTTGGTATACTTTAAGCACTTATTTGAAATTGCCTTCAGTGCTGGATTCTAAAATCTGTTACTAGTTACCTTTAGGTTATCACAAGATTTTTCAGAATGTAATCCGAAGGACTCAAGATTTTGGAGCAAACTTCAGCTAGATGAAAATCCTCAAAACTGATCTAAAAAAGAAAAATGAGAGGCACTTGAATTTATAAATTAAATAATATTCTTCTGTTTAGATTCTTTTTTCCCCTCCGCTCAGAGAACAAGTAATATATAAGCAGGTCTTCTCTGTAAGTTAAAAAACCCAAACTCTGCACTGTTAATTACAAAGGAGAATCTCTATGCAGCCCAGCAAAGACTGACTTCTTAAGTTGAGCTGTGGGATTTTCTGACACTTACATCTCCTGGACATTATAACATCCCTGTCTGTGCACCTTCCTGGGAGGATGATGAGTAAATCTTTGGTATTTCTCAGCCTTACCTGGAGCAATGCCATTTAACTTGAATGGAGCTAGTTTTGAGCATGAGGATTTTAGGCTGTTGAAGTCAGAGCACGAATCAGGGTCCCAGAAAGTCAAGTGAGTTAGTTATCCAGGTCCTGGACGGAAGTCTCAAGTGCCTTTAAGGTTACAAAGTAAAAAAGAGAATGAATTGCTAATTCAATTACACCTGAAAGATTTATTTGTATATAGGATTTCTAACTTTAATGAAAGTGAGGTTGACATAAGTTTGGGGGTTTTTTTGCCAGATTTTCTTTACAATAATTGTATGTTTTACTTGCACAGTCGTCATTGAATTCTTCAAGATACCTAATGTGTACACATATGCATCATGGCTACATTTTTTGAGAATAAATTCAAAGTTTTTGTTGCCACAACTGATCTTCAAAGCTCTGTGTCTGTAGAAAGCAAGCTTTATGCATGCTCAGGTATCATATAATAATAATTAAATTTTAGTCTCGCTGATTCTGATGTTAATGGAACTATACTTACTTTCTTAGGTAGATTTTTGTTTCTAAGGAGCATGCAATGGGTAGATGCAAGTGTCCAAGATCTTGAGGTAAACTTCACTATAGCCAGGTCCTTCCTGACAGATTCACACCCAAGTTGACAGATTTATTAAAGACAGAAGTCTCTCACATTAATTAACTCCCCGAAGAGTTTGTCTTCTCAAGTTGTATCAACATTTCTATTGCAGTGGAACTTGAACACAGTAAATCATTAGCCTCTTCAAGTCAAGTGATGTACTACCTCAGTCATCTTTCATGCTGAACAAACTGATTTACTTATCATGCCCTTATGTCTAAATTGTATTTTCTAGCTCTCTCATGATTATTGATTCTCTCCTGGATTCTTCCATTCTTGTGTAAATTTTCTTGAGAATTTAGCATTTTTAAATTAATATCAGCAATGTCTAAAAATACTTGGAAAATACTGAAAATATAAATATTAATAACTACATAGAATCAATTATATTTATGGTATTTTATAAATGTAGTAAAAATGTAATATGCAGAAATACTCTAGTTCTTTTTATTCAAGAAATTAAGGCAAATAAAGAACAGAATGCAACTTATAAAATATAAGAAAGGCATATAGGAAAAATATAGCTTAACTGAATCAGTATATAATGCATAGCAAGTTGAAGCAAGACCTGTAGAACTGTGAAATTTTACGAAGTTTTAAAGTTTACAGCTGGAGCTGCAAAGTGGCATTTTGGTATTTACTAGTAAGATTATTGCATCATTGAAAGCAAGGCTCTTATGAAACAGACAAGAAAGTAATTATTAAGCTACTCCTTAAGCTGCCTGGACAAATATTTCACCTTTGGTAAGAAAAATATCAAATATATAAACTTTTTGTTACTATTATTAAATTATCTTTAAAAATTCTAGTGATAAGAATCTTTTAAACTGTGTTGAGTTACTGAAATTTTTTTCTTAAGATGAATAATTTAAAAATAAATAATATTTTGGTTTGGAAACACAAGTTCCCAACACCCTAAAACGTAAGAACAATGAGGAGTTAATAATGTTTCCGCTTTGTAAAAAATATCTAGATACGGAGAAAAAGAAATAAAAACCTATAAGTTTACACAGGCACCCTGGAAACAGGCTTATATGTAATAATCAAAGTTTTATTCTCTATGTGATGGTAAGAGTCTAAGATCACCTAGACTATTGTACTTACTTCACCGTGTAGAATGTTTAAATTCGATGCTGGACAGGGTCCAGCATTTGTGCTGATAGGGCATTTGTGTGCATGGGTTATATATGTACATCTGTATACAAGACTGCTTTGTTGGGAGTGTCTGACACTGACAAAATGTCAGCTACACCCTATGTAGATCAGTCTCTTAGGATGAAATTCCTTTCTGTGAGGTTGTTGAAGAACAGGAACAGGTTGTCTAGAGCAGTTGTCCAGTCTCTGGAAGGGGCTTTGAGTTTCCTGGTCAAGTGGAAAGTATCCCTGCCCATGGTAGTGGGATTGGGATTGGATGGTCTTTAGTGTCCCTTCCAACCCTAACCATCCTGTGATGCCATGAATCTGTACTGTTCAATCGGATTAGTTAAATTTCAAATCAAGTTCTTCATAAATTCACACACTGGCAGTGTACTGTATGCTGAGTAATAATGATTTTTTCTACACATTACTCCATGCTACCACTATGTATGCAAAAATTATATCCCCACGTAGCTGTGCATTCAATGTCACAAAATGATGCAGCTCTGTTTAGGGCTGGTGGCTGGCTGTTCCTAAGTCAGGGAGGTTGAGTTGATCAGAAGCCCTAGCCCAGATGAAAGCTCACATATATTGCTTCCTCTACCCAAATAATTGGTTTTACTGACTATTGGATTACCATGTTGATATGCCGTCAGTAAGTTGCCAATAGGCTGGAAACTAGCACAACAGACCCTACAATGACACGAGGGGTTGAAATTTCCAGAAGAATGGAATTTAGTTGGTAGAGTTCAAGTAACATTCTGTTTTTGGTGGAGAAATTCTCCCTTTTTAATACTTTCATTTAAGCTGATGAGATTAGTAGGAAATATTAAATTCAAAAATTATTAAGATAACCTCCTACTAACCAATTATACTTCTATTTATGTTTTGAGAGTGGAGAGACAAAAATCTCAAAATTTTTCTTTCCCTAATAACAATTTGCCAGCAGCAAATTATTGCAGCTTAAGTGTTTTCATATTTACCTCCAGGTTATAATTCTGGTTTTCCTTCCAGTATGCTATTGATGAAATGATAGAGAAAGACAACATTAGACAAAGAGCTGGAAAAAGATAGGGGTGGAAAGGGTGGGTGGAAAGGAAAGAAAAAAATATATTCAGCTACTACTGTATATAGTCCTAAAGAGAAAATCTGGCATGTTAAGAAGATAAAGGAGATTCAGAAAGATAAGGAAACACAAAATCCTGAGAACTCAAAGTAGATTAAGGTTGGATTTTGGACGTGACTAGCATGATAACGTGTACAACAGTACAAGTTATTAAAGTCAAGAAAGGAACAGGCAAATAGAAGTATATGATTGGACACTGAGGTAGATTTGAGCACCCTTCAGAGTACTAGTGGAGGAGGCTAAAATAATCTGTGCTTGAAAGGAAGTTTTTAGTTACTGAAGTAGCTGGTATAACAGACTAAGGTAGTATTCTCAATATAGTATTCTCAATACTGTAATATACAGTATTATTATAATTAAAAATAATTAGAAATCTAAGATGAAAGCTCTATCTGAAATAACATTAACTCTTCCAGCTAAATGTGACTTATGGTATTTCTCTGTATGTGAAATGTAGGCACAGCCACTAGCCTGACTTCAGGAACTAATATAAACTATATAATAAGTCTGCTCAGAAAATCATTGTGGCACAGCTTAAACTGGTTGAAATCTAAGAAATCCCTGAGGAAGGGCTTTTTCAGAAATGCTCTGGTATCTTTCAGAGTTGTCGTTGTGGGAAATATCAGAGAAGCAAACATGAAAAATGCAAACTGTAAATGTGAAGGAATCGTCTTTTCTGCAGTGAACTACTTGGCAGTATGAGCTGTGAATGAGTAGAAATCTCTGCGTCTGTCCCATCTACCATCTCCCGAGGGACAGAGCAGTCACTACTCATGACTGCCTCCTGTGAGCACCCCACACTTCACCATGTCAGAGCATTTTACAGCATTTTCACTTTCCCTTAGTGTATTTCCAAGCAAAAAGTGTATCTCTTGGGATAAAAACATGCACTTTAGTAAATGAGGAGTATAGCTGGGAAATAATAATGAGCAGGAAGAAGAGGGTCTGAAATTTTAAAAGAACTCAGAAAAAAACTTGATTTAACATTTTGTGAAACCATTCAGAGATAGAACACAAGTAAAAAACGCACATTTTTTTCACCTAATACTGAACTAGATAGAAAAGACAGAGTCAACATGATTGCTTGTAGTTTTGGCATTACTTAAAATAATGCTTGATGTAATTTTTTTCTTCCCTCAGTCTCTCCACCCCAGTGCCAGAAGCAGAAAAATTTTATAAGTGAGGGTTATCACATTATTTCAGAGTAAGGTCCATCATATAAGAAACTTTCTTATATTTTTTACTTAAAAAAATAATTCAGCAATTCGTGCTGTACCTACCTGTATCTGCCACAGCAATATCTTGATGAGTGCTCCCTGAATTTTTGCACATTCTTAATTTCTTTATTTATATTAAAACTCATTTAATTTCACTCAAAAGCTGTTTCCAAAATGCTTGCATTACACAGAAGAAACACTTTATCAATGGATGATCTATTAACTAGAAATTAGATAAACCATCCTTATGGTGTAAGAATATAATCTGTCAGAGTAATAAGTAACAATCCAAAGAAAAACATTAAGTGTAACTACTGTTTAAAGATCCAGTAGCAGGAGTCCCTTTCAAACACTACCAATAGTTCTGGTCCTTTATCCAGAATTATTTTGCTTCTCTTGTTTTCCACTCTCCAGAAATAGGAATCCAAATAATTCATGGATTAATTCTGTAGACAAGATTATGGTCATGTGAAACAGCAACTGACTTTTTAGAACAAGAAATCACAGTTAGGAAGTCACTGTATTTCTGAATCATAAAACATTTTGCTGGCAATGATTAAGAAACTAATTTACTGTATATAAGAAATCTTGTTTTCATTATTTTCTAACGATGACTTGAATCCTTCACTTGTGCTCCAACAAATCATGCAAGTTATCTGATTCCATTGTTAAAAAATTAGTGGTTTCCTACCTGTGATCAATTTAATAAGATATTTAGTTTTCAAGCCCACTGCTCTTAGACTCTTTATTGCATCTTGTTCATGTCATAAATTAAAGCTGCATATCAGTTGTGGGTAGAGACAGGATCCTTGCAGCTGAAATGTATATATGTGCATACCATCCTAGAAGTGCCATTCAATTTTAATGCAATGAGTGGGATATTTTCTGTTCAGTGGAAGAGCATTCAATTTAATGCAGTCATTTGACAAATCAATTCTGAAATTTATTTTCATCTGTTTGTAAAGCTGGAGATGTCAGACTGTAGATACATGCTGATCTGTTAACTGGTTAATAGCTTAATAGTAGATTTCCTGGTGAATGCTGCTGTTTCTGCAGGTGCCATCTCATTTTCTCTGTGGCACAAAATTAAAATCAAGCCTCAAGATTCTTGATTACACTGAAAGTACGTTCATGTATAAGTAGTCCCTTTGAAATGAATAGGTCTTGTTTAATGAGTAAGTTAACAGACTGCCCCTCAAGATTCCTAGCTGTGATAGGTAAAAAATAAAATCACAGCACAAGAAATAAATCCTTCAGAATTCAAATAATAACTCTTAATTCCAATTCCAGTGCTTATCATGTCCTCAGTAATTTTTCACGTTGCTCTATGGTAAGATATTTCTGATTTCTCAGCTGGGAAGACACTTAAACACCTCAGCAAAATGTGATTTCTTCACCCTGAGAATTTCTTTATTTACTCAGACCAGATGTTAAGCTCAGCAGCAGTCTGTTTCCAGTACTGCTAAGGGAAAGTGAGGATTCTTGTACAAAATGAGCAACCTTTCGGTAAATGCTCTTGGATTCTAGAACTGGCAGTTTAAAGATCAGAGCTGAATGTCACTTGTACGTTTAATAAACTTCTAAAAGTCATATGCATAGTCAAAATAATAAGATGTCTGTGTCTGGTCATCATTCATAAGCAGGCATCTTATTACTTATACAGTAAAGTCCTTACACTTTTGTGGAAAATATGAATGTGATTTGCTTTTGAGGATATCTGCTGTGGTTTTATTTTTGGGTTTTTTTCTCCTAAAAGAGAGAGAGAGAGAAAGAGAGAGAGAAAGAGAGAGAGAGAAAGAGAGAGAGGGAGAGAGGGAGAGAGAGAGAGAGAGAAAAAGAGAGAAAGAAAGAGAGAAAGAAAGAGAGAGAGAGAGAAAGAGAGAAAGAGAGAAAGAGAGAAAGAGAGAAAGAGAGAAAGAGAGAAAGAGAGAAAGAGAGAAAGAGAGAAAGAGAGAGAGAGAGAGAGAGAGAAAGAGAGAGAGAGAAAAAGAGAGAAAGAAAGAGAGAAAGAAAGAGAGAAAGAGAGAAAGAGAGAAAGAGAGAAAGAGAGAAAGAGAGAAAGAGAGAAAGAGAGAAAGAGAGAAAGAGAGAAAGAGAGAAAGAAAGAAAGAAAGAAAGAAAGAAAGAAAGAAAGAAAGAAAGAAAGAAAGAAAGAAAGAAAGAAAGAAAGAAAGAAAGAAAGAAAGAAAGAGAGAAAGAGAGAAAGAGAGAAAGAGAGAAAGAGAGAAAGAGAGAAAGAGAGAAAGAGAGAAAGAAAGAAAGAAAGAAAGAAAGAAAGAAAGAAAGAAAGAAAGAAAGAAAGAAAGAGAGAAAGAGAGAAAGAGAGAAAGAGAGAAAGAGAGAAAGAGAGAAAGAGAGAAAGAGAGAAAGAAAGAGAGAGAGAAAGAGAGAGAGAAAGAGAGAGAGAAAGAAAGAGAGAAAGAAAGAGAGAAAGAGAGAAAGAAAGAAAGAAAGAAAGAAAGAAAGAAAGAAAGAAAGAAAGAAAGAAAGAAAGAAAGAAAGAAAGAAAGAAAGAAAGAAAGAAAGAAAGAGAAAGAGCCAGAGTGCCAGTATATGCTCTCATTCACCTAAGATACGAAAAAAATCTCATTTATATCATAGATGTAATCTGAACTATACTACTACACATATTTGTGGACTGCTTGGTTACAGATTATTTTAAGTACTTGAAGTCTATACTACTGCTATCTTTTGATATTCCTGCTTTACTGGGCTTTGAAGTTTTGAGGGGTTTTTTATTTTGTTTTTTAGTTAGTTTTTTTAATTTTTTTTATTTTATTTCATTGCTTTTTGATCATACAGGAGCTCTTCTTTTAGCCTGGTAAATTCCTATCACATATTAGGAAAAAATTTGAATCTCTTTCTATTTCAGGTCTTGTAATAAGTTTATCCAAGAATAAATGAGTATTAATTGCTCTCAGGCATATGCCAACAGAAAATTAGATCTCTAATATGATAAAAACATGGATCTGGAACAGGGTTTCCATTAGTTCTGTTATTCTCAAGACAATATTATCGTTATAGATCATGTAACACTGTTGCCCTGATGTGAGAACATAAGCAAATTTCTTCTGGTCAGTCCACTAGGAAAGTATCATGCTAGATAAGTTGTAAGGTGATTTTTTAGGTGATTCTTTTTAGGACTTTGTATAGGTGATTACAGGGAAAAATCTGTGAGCAGTTTCTATGCTGAAAATCTTCTTTAGAGGAAACAAATTTTGAGAAAATGCCAATGGGAAATTTGGTCTAGATGACCTTTAAACATCCCCTTCCAAACCAAATTGTTCTGTGATTCTATGTAACTGCATATGATATGTGAAATAGGATTATAATTGTCGAGTAAAATATATTTGGAGAAACATCAGTCTATGAAAGGAAATTAGACTTTACTCAAAGAAAAAAGTCTCAGATGATTGCTCTGTATATTGGCAATCAGTGCTTCTGCTTTTCTTTTAATTTCTTTCCATTGTTTCTCCTATCATTTTACTGCCTTGTTCATGTGGCTTCACTGTACATTTCATTTTCATTAATGAAACATTTGGAGGAGGGAATAAGACAAGTGCTTGAAGTAAGAATATGCCTTTGTGGAAATTCTAGGACTTTTCAGGACAGGGAGTTTCTGTTTCCTTCTTAGTGCCAAATACAAACCAAAAACAAGGCATAGAAGTTGTAAACATTTAACTACAATTTCTTGTGTAGTCTTCTGATAACCACCCAGGCTAGATCTTCATTTTTTTAACTATTCTGTATTTTTTGAATAGCTGGTTTTGCTCATATACTGGCCCAAAGTCAGGGAACACAGGAAAACAAGTTCTCCTAAAGTAATTACCAGGAAAGAACTAGAACTCAAAGTCTCAGTTTTCTCTGTTTCTCCTCTTTTCCCAATACAACAATAATTTATGATTGATCCTACCATAATGACAAAAAATGTAAAATGAAGCAAGAACTAAGTTTAATTCTTGCCCCTGACTTTTCAGTATGAAAAAGTGCAGGATGCTAAGCAGATATTTGTGTTCAGCGTGACGAGTTTAGATCTTCTATCATAAGTCACTCTTTATGCATTATCCAGAAGTTCAGTTGTTGAATCTCTTGAATGGCACAAATATTTTAAGAAGAAATATCAAAGGTCTTGCCTGCCTCAATCCCAAGCCCGTAAGAGTTTGTGCTTGTTTCTATTCTCTATTTGCCTCTTGGAGTTACCTTGACTGCCTCTTCATCTTCATTAACAGCAGAATTTGGCCTGTGATGCTTAGATTTTTTGTCAAGGACTCTACAAAATGCCTCAAAAGTCAAGATGGTATTCTTACCACCTTCCTCAATCCCTGTGTATAACACAGGTTGGTATTAGAGTACCACTTAGCCGTGCATATCACACAACATAATTCCTCATAATGCATTAACAGGAAAATTATTTAAATGGTGTATTCTGAAAGGAAAGTAGTTAACTGAACAGTGAGGAAATTTTCTAGTGTTCCTGATTTATAAGAGTAAAAAAAAAAAAATTTCCAAAACTAGTCATGAAACAATATGGAAATCATTTGGTAGCCTTCATACCACTAAAGCAGATTAATAAAAAATAGCTACTGTTAGAAAAGATACTGTACATTATGAAGAGGATGAAGTAACTATTTTTGCTAGTTTTAAAAGTAGTCTGAAGGAAAAGCTTTTTTGTCACATAAATTTGGACTGGAAAAAATTTTCTTAAAAACATTGATCCAGATATAGAAGCAGGAATATTTTAAAATGGACAGATAGAAGAAACATTTCATGTACTCAAATTAGGAATAACAGTAAGGTAAAAGAAAATTATATAAAACATTTTTTAAATAATAATCAAAAACAAATAAATGATGTTAAGTAGCCCTTACAAATATGTAAAAACTACACATAGAAACATGAAATTGTTAAAATTATAGCTCAAATTATAGCTCTTTATTAACTTCTTTAATTAAATGTGTCATGGAAATGTATTTTTCAATACCTAGCTTAACCAATCTTTGTTCTGTATTCAGTCCTGATCCAGCATATGAATTGGGATGTTGATCAAGGGACCTCCAGAGATGCTTTCCAGACAGCTAGTCTGCAGCTTTATGTTTCTTCATAGAAAAATTCAAAAATCCTGATAATTTGGGTCCAATTCTCAACATGAATCACTATATTGTGGCTGTAAAAGCTGAAAGGCAACAGAAATTAAGAAGCAGAGACCAGTCTGCTACAAACAGTTGTCTTAACTGAGATCTTATCAACAAAAAGTGAAGAGATGGATTTTGTATTAGTTACAGAAATAAACTTTGGAAGCATATATGTGAGTTTTGTGATAGAAAATCTGTGATTTAGAAGAGCACACCTAAAAATGTGTCTGGGGAAAAATTAACATTACTTGTCCTGTGTTTGTTCACCTTATTTCATGAATATACCTCAGTTTATACAGTTTTCCTGGGATATGTAAAAAGACATTTGCAAGGTAAAAAAAGCTTCCTCCCTGACTTCTCTGACATCTCCAAATGAAAATAACCCTGACTAGTCTAAGCTTGTCCAGCCAATATGATAAACCAATAGCTGATTATTTCAGAAAAAAATAACATATCAGCTGAGATCTCAAATGACTTGTCAGTTTGGTACTCGTTTTTTAGTGCCAAAAAAAAGTTTGAGTTTTGGTGACATCTTCCAGTTTTGTACAGCCAAGTGCTTCTCAAAACCAAAAATGGTAGAAGTTTTTTAAAGGCTGGAGTCTAAAATGCCGCCTTTATTTTGAAAGAAATATCTTGAAAATAAGTCAATATTTTCAGGTCAAACTTTGTGCCAGGTAGATATATGGAAGATTATTTTAATTGTATTAACTAAGTATCTGGACTATCTGTTTATTATTTTTAAGAATGCTACTACAACTGTTACATAACCAGAAAGAGGAGGATTTTTACCATGCTGTAGAATTCAGCTCCCCTGCCATACCCTTGCCCTCCTCCTCCCAAAAAAAAAGCCATGATTTAATTTTTTAAATCAATGTCTGAGTGTTATAGTGCTTTATAAACTCTTCCCTAAGTAATATAAACTTGTAATAGCATCAAGTACCCTTTGAAAAAAATGAGACATAAAAGACCACTTCTAGTCCTAGATGTCAATGTGCAACAAAGTTTTATCTCCTGCCATGTACAACTACAACTTCATAAATTACATTTCTAAAGATTCCATTATTTACTAAAAAATGGAAAAGATGATCTGTCACACTGATCCAGTCAAGGATTTCAGTTACTCAAGTTATTTTGTCTAAAATATGACTTTATTTATATATTTTATTTTTTAGGAGTTGAGTGTTTTATTACTTATTTTCTTATCAGGTCAATATTAAGATAGTCTGAAGGAGGGAAGTAGTAGAAGACTTTCAACAAAATTGTGAAAAAATGAGCAGTGTCAGCCTGGTAAGTTTATATTTTTGTTGTTGTTGTTGTATTGATGATGGTTTTCTCACTGATGTTCTCATTTATGTTTGTAGCAACATCTCAGTTACTGTTGATTTTATTCTTGATGTAATTTTGTATGTATTTGTATTCTTGATGTAATGTATTTATGTGTTAATGTCTTAAACTTTGCTTTACATTTTAACAGAAGTGCTCAGTATCTCATTAACTCTTTGCGATGCAGTTTTTGTCATAGATCCAAGTAGTTTTAATTTCAGCCAGAGTAGTTAGCACTTAAGATTGTTTTTTAATCCTTTAAGTGTGTATACAATACTTCTGTATTTTCCCCAGCCTTGTCAGGTTTATATTTTGCAGTTTGAGAAAAAGTATGAACTGAAGGGTCTAGATTGAAAATGTTATTTTTCTGGTCTTTTCATTTTATTTATGTCATGGTTTAGGAATGGCACTCCAAATCACCAGTCACTCCTCACCCACCATCCCTGTGGGAGACAAAAGGCAAAGATTATGGGTTGAGATAAAAATTTACTGGAAACAGTAATGAGATAAGAAAAATGGACAGCAGCCACAAAAACATGGAAAACAAAAGTGTAAAAAAGAGGGTGATTTACATGAAAAAATGCTTTCAAAGCCTGGGACAATAAGAAACAAAGGCCTTTGGTACTTCCATGTTTTTTTCCTGACAGAAAGCCATGCCCACCTTTTTCTCAGGGGCAAAAATCCCTTACTCCTGCCACCAAGTGTGACCTGAGGTGATTTAGATTAACAACCTAGACATGCCCACACAGCTCCAGGCTCTGCTCCCTCATGGCTACTGTGAGAAAAATTAACTGTTCTGGCCAACAACAAGAGAACTAATTAAAATAAAACAACAACAAAAAAAAGGTGAAACAAACTTCTAGAGTTTCAAATCGTAATTTTAAAGCAGTTATTTATTCCTGCCTTATTCATTCAAATGTTTTCTTCAGGTGAGTTTTCCTTTTATGAAAAACCTTTCTGTGAATTTTATTTCTTCCACAAAAGAAAGCCAGTAGAACTAAAACAGTGTTATCTCTTTCAGGAGGACAAGTAGTTTTAAATGTTTAGGGATAATAGAGTCTAACTCCCCAATGTGAGTAGAACAAACTCCTCTATTTTCTTTACACACACACATAGCCTTTGGCTAATGGTGTGCTGGGAAGTGCTGGGAAGTGGAAAGACAGTTTTAGAAATTCAGAAATAATTGCAGCACTTAAAAGAATACTGTGCTCAAGTTTATAATCTGAAAATACTTAAAAACTTTGATATCACGTATCTGACACAATATAAGACCAGATTTATAAATGCATTAAATTTATCAGCAAAAAATATCCAGTAAGGAGTGACAGACTTCTGCTAACACTGGTCTTATATGATCTCTAATTTCGTATATATGTGTAAGTATATTCACTTTTGTATGTACGTACGTACGTACATATGTATGTATGTATGTATCTATCTATCTATCTGTCTATCTATCTATCTACCTACCTACCTATCCATCTATTTATGTATCTTCTGATGATCAATGGATGATCTATATCCTTTATTTAAAGGAAATATAATAATTTCTGTGTTTGACTATCAGTACCGACAATTAACCAGTAGTGCTTCACCACTGCAGGGACTTTGACAGTGTAACACATAATAATGGCAAAGTGAGAAACCCTTCTGTCGAGGTTTAGGAGTGGTATTTCCCAATTAATTGTTCCCGTTGAAACACCCAAGATCTCACCCTGCTTGTTCATTCCTCCTTCCCGCCTGGCTGTGGCAGGATGGAGAGGAGAAGGGGAAGCACTAAAAAGTAAAGGTCCTGTACTGAGACAAGAGCAATTAACTAGAAACAGCAATGAAATAAGAAGAGAAAAATAACAATACTAATACTGATAACAGAGTGTACAAGACAGGCAAACAATTCACAGGCCATTGCTCACCACGCAGAACACAGCTGTTACTCAGCCCCACACTCTGGTAAAACCCTCCATCCCTGCTACATATGGTGAGAGAGGCATCCAATAACCCCAGAGTTTTGACCCTGCCTCTCCTGGATGCTGCAAAAAATAACCCTGTATTGGCCAGAACCAGAGCATTTCCACCCCTATTCTGTACTGTGGACATCATGCCCAGGTCCTACACCTTGCACTATATACATACATATACATGTATACACACACAAGCACAGGTGTGATTCCCATAGTCAATGGCTCTCCCTCAGAATGTCTTTTAAGTTAATTTAGTTCATGTCTAAATGTCTTAAACCTTGACTGTGTGTTCTATTTATCCTAAGTATCTTTCAGGGCAGGAGGACTGGTGAGGTGCTGGGAGGTTGCAAAGTTGATTATATGGTGGAGCCCCCCTCAACACATCACCATTTCCTCCTCCTCTGATGATGGTCTGTAATATTTGTCTTAGGTGAGTTTGTGAATAATTCCAAGATCTCTGAGCTCACTGTGTGATCAGTGTGATTCACTTACTCCATGTAGCTTCAGTGGCATGATGTGTTGCAGGGACTTTCTCTTTGAACATCTAGCCCAGCACAGGCAGTCAGGGTGCCAGAAGGACATTTGGTGCCAATCACTTCTGAAGCAGATCAAACCCCTTCATAAGCTGCCAGTATCTCTGGAGATAGCAGTATCATCAGGCTTTAGCAGATCTTGGATCTTTTGTATCCCCTATTTCAGAATCCCAGGGATTGTCTTAAAATCTACCTGGGTACTTTTTGCAGGGGCTCCAGGAAGGACCATTCTCTCCAGCTGCAGTGCAAAGCACATTTTTCACATCTAGTTCTGTCCTCATTGTTCCAGGGGCTACTGTATGAACAATCTCCTATCCAATTTGTTCAAAATCTTGTTCTTACTCAGGATCCCACTTCAAATCATTCTGTTTGGTCATTTGATAGAGAGCATTTACAATCTCTGCTCTGGAATATAGACATTTCAAAAACCCACAGTGCCTAAGAAAACTTGTATTTCCTTTTGCTGGTTGGTGAAGGTGTAACTGCTATTTTGTTGAAAAATCTATCAGAATTTGGCAATGTCCATCTTGCCATTTTACTCCTGAAAAAATAATTTTGTGGCCAGGTCCCTTGATCTTCTTAAAAATCTCTCTCTTAACTTCAGACAGGGTATAGACTACAGTGAGGAGACATGGCAGGCATAACAGCATGCTTTCCTTAACATACAAAGGAAATTCAAAATTCTGAGAAGCTCTTGTAACAAGCCTGAAGGGAAAAAGGGGTTGAAAAGCTGAGGAAAATAATCCTCCCCTGTTTTCCCCACAGATTGTGTATAATTATGATTGAATTCCCAGAGGTAATACCTGAGGGCAAGAGTGCAGCACCAAGTGTGCATTCCAAGTGAGCCTCATTGTCCTTGATGCTATCATGTTGATACCACACAGCACAGCAATAAAGCAATCCTCATTCCTCTCTCTGCTCTGAAAAAGAGAAGCAGGGAGAGCACATGGTGCATATATGGGAGAATAATACAACGTCAAGCACCACAACCACATGAAGAGACAAAGCAACGTTGTGACCAGTGGGTCTGTACCCAGTAAAAAAAATACGTATATCACATTTGTTTCGAACCCGCTCTGGGCAGATCTATTGTTATCTCAGGCCTTCAAGCCCCACATTGGGTGCCAGAGAAAGCTGTTGTGGTTTAAGAATAAGAAAAGGAATGGTAAGCACAGCAACATTTATAGTAGTGTAGGATAGGTGAATGATTCACACGATACTGCTCAGCACGTGGAACCCAGTGCCACCTGACTTACATACCCTGCCAAACTGGAATCAGACCCAGCCCCTTCTTACACCTTGCACATGATATGAGAAGGTATTGAGGAACAGGAGCGCTTTCCAGAGGTTCTAGGCACTTGGGACTTTCATGCTTTAATATCACCACCTCTTACTCATGTTTCAGGTAGCACAAAAATACATTGTTTCTTCAAGGTGTTTAAAATGCGTTTTAATGTATTTAAATTGGCAGCTGTTCAGTCCTCCTTGAAAATTCTTGCCATCCAGAAAGTGAAAACACATCTATAGGTTATATTTGGAAGAAAAAAAGCTTGTAATTCCATTATGCAGAACATAATTTTGTATAAACTTACCTCGTGCCTCACTTTAGGTATGTCAGGGATGTATGTATATTTTAGAATTATTTTCAAAATTTTAGCTTACTTTGATTTCCATTAGATTTTTGGTTGGTTGGCTGATTGGTTGGTTTAGTGAGCTGGTTAGTTGGTTGGTGGTTGGTTGGCTGATTGGTTGGTTTAGTGAGTTGGTTAGTTGGTTGGTTTGTTTGTTAGTCGCTACTTGGCTGGTTTTTATCCATGAGGGGGATTAGATATTGAAGAAAATTTTTCAGAGCAATTATGAAATATCTGTCCTGAAGGTGTTCAACAATAAACTGGGTGTGATCATGAGCATCTTGACCTAATTAGTCCTGTTTTGAGAAGTGGGTGTGACTAAATGATCTCCAAAGTGGTTTTCCTTTCAAAATCATTCTGAAGATTTGTAGATCTCTGATTCTGTGGTTAAAATTATTCTCAAGAAAGAGAAGGAAAGTCTTATCATAATTTTTTCTTAATTTCACTAACAACTTCAAGGAAATAGTTATGAAATTTAAATGGAACTGACAGGAAATGTCTGTATGTTCAGCTTGAGGAAATTATCAAGGGACTTGTGGGAAAAGTAGCTCAGGTTTGAGAAGACCACATGCTTTTAGGTATGAAGATTTTGCACACTGTTTCTGTTAAAATGGGAGAAATTGCTAAACTACTGGAAACTGTAACCAAATTTTGTATAGATTATTTGAAAACATGTTGATGCACTTTTCTTTGGGAAATATGAAACTGAGGTAAAAACTCAACTGCAAACTTCTGCCCTTATTTTTGTTTTAGTCTAGTTCTTGCTGTCATCTTTTCCAAACACAGCTTCTTGTAACAGAAGTGTAACTTTAAAAGTTACTAGTATGGTTATTTTAGTG